ACTCAAACGATTGAGATTCATATATTGTATAAACAAGAAATAAAGTGCAATAAATAGAGAAAAATACTTCAATGCAAGAATTCTAACCATCCCTGCAATAATATGTCGGTTTTTTACCTTAAACTTCACTCATTCTATCTCATGAGTGATGATCATTCTTTCTGTCTCTTTTATGAATTTTGATAGAAGGTTTTAGTTCAAGTTTAATTTTTCGTATTTTTCTAAATATAACCCCCCGTCATATGCATGCATATTTCTTCAGTTATTACGTTAAAACAATGCCTACATTTTCTCAAAATTACAAACCTTATGCGATAAACTAGACGCCTGAGATATAAAAATACACATTTCGAAGAACTGCAGCTATAGTATTGAAGGTAATAAACTTGCCTTTATTTATTCTAAATGTTAAATGTGAGTCGTAGGAGTGCTTAGGGTTAAATATAAATTTAATTAACCTGATATCAAACAATGTGAGAAGGTAAGCAACGTCACTCTCAGTTTACAAACTTAATTAACTGACAAATCTGAGAAAGATTTTTAGACAAGTGGATTTAGAGATATTATTTATACGTACCGTAACCGTAACGTGTTTTGATATCGTTAGTGTTTTTTTTTTATAGGGAATTCATAGGTAAACCTTTTTCTTGATTCTAATGTTTGTTTTTATGAAAATAACTGAAAATATATTGTTTACGCTGTATAACACGCATATTTTAGGAAAATGTTATATTTAATGAAAAGTCGTTGTTATTATTCATTTAAAGAAAAAGTAAAATGTGGAAGAAATTACTGACATGGTTTGAGTTTTTCGGTGCTACCGGATGTAGCCTATACAGGTTAAATCTCGTTAAGTGTCTTCTCACAATAATTGTGATATACAAACATGTCATATTAACATAATTTTGAAACTTGTGTTAAAACAAATATTTTGGTGGAAACTAAATTATGATAATCTTATGACCTAAGCTGTCATTTGATATACTATATTACAATTATATCACAAAAACCTTCCAATTTTAAAAAAATAATCAAAAGAAAAATTTCGAAACTATCGAAGAGCATGTCATTTTACAGGCATCACAATTACAAGCAGCTTCCAATTTTAACCATTTTTGGAACTCTTATAATTTTTAGAGTATCAACTCAAATACTTTTCCTCATAAAAACTCACGTTAATTGTTAAACATATTGTGTCACAATGTCGAAACAGATACGAATGACCTTGATTGATCCATAATCAAGTGACACAGGATTTACCGATGTTAACATTATTCCTAACCAAGATAAGAAGTAGCTTGACAGGTAAAGTTAGTTAACTCTGCTTGGATTGATTTGTTACTTCCTAACTACTTGCAAATTACCAGTTGTTTGATAAAATGTAGAGTATAATTTTATCTTGGAATACATTTAAATGTTTTTATTTATAATTATAAATTATAGGCATTATAAATTGAAATATTAAGAATATTCTTGTACACGTATATAAAATAACTAAACACTTTTGTGTTTCCGTTGGTCAATAGAGAGATTCAATCAAACTAATTTACCATAGACAACATTTTATTACAAAAGGAATCTTATGTTTTTTTTACAATAAAACTACTAGTGAATAGTTTGTAGGTTAGTTGTCATAAGAGAGTAGACAATGTCTACACTTTGAATGGTACCCAATATCTTTATGTAGACAAAAGGGTTTTACGCCAGCTTGCCAACCTTTATTAAAAGGTATTCTTTGAAAATTTAATTTCAATATCTAAAGTCAAGGTTTTGTTAGACGAAACCAACAAAGAGTTCGGTCCGGGAACTAATGAAATCAAAGCCGCCTGTAGCAATAAATTCAGGATCAATAGTGCTGTCTCCAATATTTTATATATTCCTTCCAATACTTCCAATGTTCGATGAAAGCCCTTGTTCAAATATAATTTATGTTGAATTGCTTTATACGTTACGTAAAGTTAATAATATTTATTGAATCGGATGAATTCAAAGAAATATTATATATAGTGATTTGTTATACGGTACGACAATATGAATACCCTATTTTATAAACATAGTTAAATACAATACAAAGAAAATAATATTCAACATTGCTGTGTATTTTTCGTGTATACCGTCATCCTAGCGAAATTGTTTGGTTTCATTTGTGCTTGATTGTATTGTCTACGACGTTTGTGGTGATATCAAAACAAATATGTTTCGATTTGATATACAAATGATAAACATTCAATTTCTCGTGTCACTCACTAGCTAATTGTTTTAGTGGCATGTTACGATATTTTATTGCTCGGGAATAAACCGAAAAATTCACTATTGAAGCTGCGTTATTGTTTTACAATGATATCCATGAAGTCTGCGTTCTTGTATTTGCGTTGGATCACAGTTTCAATTGTGTTTCTTTAAATTTCACTGAAATACCTCTTTAGTATTGCTGTGTAAGTTTTAATTTTTTTAGTTTGTGAAGAAGGCAATTGTTGTTGTAGTTCCTTGTTTCTAATACTAATGTCTTGACTCTAATATCATGTTTGAAGTGTTAATTATATTAAAGTAAGTAACCCGTAATATAAGTAGTTTCGAATAGTAATTTATCGCCAAGGATTTTAAAGTTGACCTCAAGGATTGAGAAAGATTTCATTTTTAAAGCTTGCTTAAACGCCGTCGTTTGGCTGTCCTAAATTTAGGGACAGTTTGATGGATCTCATTTAAGCTTATGAAACGAAACCTATCTGTTACTATTGTTTCGTTGGTTTATGTATTGTTATTGTTTTATTTAATATCTATGTTTTATACATGGCTACCAACTGGTTCAAAATGTTTGTAGTCTTATAACATTAGTTTTTGAATCCATAAATTTCGTGTATTTTTTTCATTAATAAATCACAAAGCATTGTCCCAAAATCCTAATATAATGAAATATTTTGAAAATTAGTAGTTAAGAACCATCAAAACTTCTGAGTAAACGTTTCACTCAGCATAAATAGTTTAAAAATAATGCGTTAAAAACCATAAATTTCATTTAAATAGTAAAAATACAACACCATAGAGATCAATTAGTTTAAAAGCAGGCTCAATGAAAGTAAAACGCTTTAAAATCCAGACCAATTACAAAGGTAGACGATTACCAAGCCAATACCAATCTAGATCATCAAAGGATCCTCTTGGTCTTATTTGCTCAATTATCTCAATCGCTAGTCAATCGTAGAACCTCGGGCAGAACTATCTCTCGGCATAACACTATACCAAACATTCAATAGTTGTTTTACTTTAAGTATTAGTGCACAACCCATAAACATTATTACTGTCAGATCTTCTGTAATTAGTTAAAACATAATATTCATAAAATATCGTATAACTTTATCCATAATGTTTCTGCAATAAATTTGCTATAACTACCAGAATAGAATAAGCGGTGTTACTAGAACAACCGAACCTTATAAAGGAATTTTCAGTACATCGTCTACTAAAAGTGTTGGGCTTTGTCAATTGCTAATACTTGTTTATGAGATGTATTGAATTTTAAAACATGAAGTATAATCATCCTTAGTTTAATGTTAAAAATAAATTCTTTGAACTTAATATGCATGAACGGTATCAGCAATCTTAATCATATATTCATAAACTCATGAGCAAACAATTGGAGTAACTGTGTATTTTGTATTTTGTAGGTAAACTCACAAATGTTGCGGTTACTTTGGAACCGTAATAATTACAGCCTTGGAGATTGTATCGTTTTATTTATAATCAAAAACCATAGCGTAGTAATTTTTATATAAATCGTTCGACCATTTTAGTGAAAGCCGAATCGTTCCGTTAATTTATGCGGTTATACAGTAAAAATCAAACTTTCCAAGGAATGAAAAAAAAAACTCTTGGAGACCATAGATTAAACTTTTTGGGTTTAAAAGAAACCAAAATGGATATTTTTACTAAAAACAAATTTTTTAACCCAATCCCGAGTTCTACAAAAAGCCAAACTCGAAATATTATACGAAGACGACAATTTTCTTATCTACTAGGATTGGGGGAAGTAAAAGATATAAAACTGTTAAAATAAAAATATGTTTGCAACCACAGGGAAAAATAGAATTTGGTTTTCGCGGGAAGTTTTTTTATGGAACCTGATCTTATGTATTTTCCGCCAACAATTTTCAAAGGAGCGTATATGAATCATATTTCTGATTTGTGAGGTGAAAGCTGCCTCGCGTTGTAAAATATAGTTTTGTTACTGGCTACCGAGGAACGGGTTGGAAAATATAATGTTTAAAGTGTCGAGTATATAAAAGTAAGTGACCCGTATATAAAAGTCGTTATAACTTGTAAATGATCTTCTATAATATGATTTGTTGCGATTGCTTTGTTGTTTGTTTTTCTCTCTTCTGTGTAGAATTCCATTACATATTTTATTGTAAACCATAAACAACGTTTAATGTACTTTTAGAGCTACACAGATTATGTATTTTTTAGAACAAAATAATTAACGGTCACGTGAAAGGTATATATCTAGACTGGGTTGCAATTAACAACTACTTGTTTTGTTTTAAAAGCTACGCTCCGATTTTTTTTAATTACCTTATTTAAAGAAACGTAATTTTTCGTTCCACGGTTCAAACTCCAAAATGTTTACATTACTAGTAACCACGTTAGTTATAAATTAATTTGGTAGTTCCATTATGAGTAAAAAAGCTGTAAGTTAGTTTTGTCAAGAAGTTTATCCTGACAGTGCATAAAGCACAAGGGAAACTCCCTTCTTTGGAAAAGGATTCAGTTTTCGAAACTATAGGAATTTTATAACACTATGCTAATCATCAAACTATCATTTAAGCTAGAAGATATGTCTGACTAAGGTAGGTATTTCCGTGATGCTTGATAAACATTGGAAAAAATTACCTTGGTGAGGCAAACAAAGGGCCGGGTGGAGGAAAGGTGTAAAGCAACTGCTTTTGTTAAATGTAGAGATAATATAATTTTGTTAATTAAAATGTGTTTTTTTCTTGTTTCAGGCCTCTTGGAAGGCACAGAAGAAGAGTTCACTCAATCGAGACGCAACATCACTGTGTAGGCTTGTACAAAAGAATACACATCTGTAACACGAAGGTAAGAAACAATGAGATATAACAATAAAGTTTAGTTCCTCAATTATTATGTTTATAAGTCTTTACAAAATCTAGCATACGCCACGAAACTCTTATTTCAAATTTCTTCAACAGAAAATGTCTGATGTATCTGGTTTACGTTCTTTACATGATTGACATTTAAATCCATTCCTGATATACTCAAACAATAAATCTAGAAGTGAAAAGTTATATATTTTTTATTAGGCATAGCTATTTTGACATAATTTAAGCCTGGTATTAAAGAATTTGCTACTTGCGACGCTAATAAATACTTACGTAATTTAAAATCAATATTTAGAATGTAACCTCCTAGATACCAATCTAAAGGAGGAAATTCTCGAAATAAAATAAGATCTGCAAAACAAAAACATATCTGAAAATTTTTTATTTTCTACATAAATCAGTTTAATCAAAAATATCACTCGACTTTTCTGATTACAGTACTACTTTTCACTGCAGAAACTTAGCTGTAATCATATTACAAAGTTTGAGTCATGTTACTATAATATTGATCATGTTTAGTTGTTTGAGTGTGCTACCCTTGATTAATTGTCTCTCCTTTTTAGACTAAGTTTTTTTATCGAGTTATTCACTTTGTAATGTTAATTTTGTAATGCAAGCAATGAAAGAAAATCAATTCAGCTTTTGGCCGTAACCGTTTTAAACATGCTTTTCAGATATTTGCTAAAAATAAACTTTTTGTATATAATGTTAGGCCTACTTTCTACAAGTTGCTATTGGACATTTAATCTTCCTTTATATATTGGCTTTTCCGTTAACGATGAATGACGGATGAAAATGTATAAGGAATTTTTAACAATACTCAGTACAAAAAAATAATAGCCTATGAACGCAAAAATGATTGGTTTCAACTAAACATTGGTCTAACAAAGAAAGTCCGGGGGAGGAATGCAAGCAGACGTGTAAAATGCACGTCCAACTCAACAGACTTCTAGGAAACGTGTTGGGGTTTGTAACCACGACACCGCACCGCCACCTTCCAACTACGACAAGTTTGTATAAGCAGCAAGTTGGAACACGGTATTGGTTTTTTATATAGTTAGATACCCTTGCCGCAGCAAACCTGCAGACTAAGCAAATTTCCATTTGCATGGTTAGATTTCCATTCAAAATTTATTTTAAACTTGTCATATATATAATAAATAAACTATTATTTGGTTTTGTATTACTCATGGTGAGAGAATTTGTTTGTGGATTGTTTCCTAAATAAATGGTGCAGTTTTTAATCTTCTTACAAAAATGGCCTGGTGAGGTAGAAAATTAAGGTTGGTATCACCTTTGACTCTAATAGTCGGTGTGGTCACAGAATCCTTTGGTTCAAGTATTTTTATACACTGTAAAAAAACTTCTGATTCATTGTTGTCACTTACTTTAAAAATGTAATTTTGATCCAAAATTGTTAGTTGAATCAAAGTCAGTCATTTTTGTGCAAATGACTTTCACAAGATGTTAACCGTTTATGCTCCTTGAAGAAGTATATTCTTCTTTAACTATGTTTGTAACTTGTTTGATTAAATAATTTAAGAAAGTGAATGAAAATAAATTTAATTGGAATAAAAAAACATGAATGTGTAATGTACAAAAATCAGTAATGAACTGTTAGGTAACTATAGCAACTCATTAGAATAAACAAAACCAAATTTATACTTTAAAAAATAATCATTGTCCAACTGTTTTTGAACAGTATTGGTGCACTCACCAAACTCCTCATAAAAATAACAACAGACGTAGGAGTAAACTGTTCGTAGAAACGGGGTTAGTAAAAAAACGGAAGACTTCTGGGAAACCAACTGTAACCGAGGTAACAAATAAAAAAGTGAGACAGTCTCGCACTGTAAATATTTAGAAAATCTCTTACGCGTCGAAGTCTGGAGCTTAAATCCCAGTGAGTACCCTTTATAGAATAGTAGATTAAAATCTGCATTTAAACTACATGCGTAAATTTATCAATTGGTACACGGTATCAAACCGAATGATAAGAATAAACCATTAAGTTTTCAACCTACATCTTAAGTCAAATTGAAGAAAATGAATAAGAAAATTTTTCTTAAAATTATGGTTAAACTATGGTGAGGTAAGACTTTTAAACTGGTTTTTTTTTGGACTTTTATATTGGTTTCCCTCGTTAAAATAAATCTTAAAATAATAATCTGCAATGTGATTTTTGAGGCTGGATAAAAATAGTAATAAAAGATCTAAAGATGAAAGGATCTAAAAGATGAGAAGGAACAAAAATACGTCAAATAACACTTGTAATAAAATATGTACACTTATACTGTCTACAAGTCGGTAAATACTTAGAAAATATGGTAAATTGTGATTGATTTCGATTAGACACCCCAATCAGACCCAATAGGCGAATGACAAGAATCAAAATGGCGTTCCTTGTATATGTGGCTCAGCCAAGGTTTCTATGTGTTCAACTGGAGTTAAAACAATTGTTCATTAAATAACTCATTTAAAAAGACAGAAATTTACATCAATAATATTGCATCATTATGGAACTTCCAGAATAAATGCAATGTTTATCAAACCTCAAGAGAACTTATATTAATATTCGCAGTAGTATATACTTGTTTTAAAATGTTCCAATGACAGCACACTGTATTTCCTGTCATCAGGCTTTTAGTTGTCTATAACTCTATTAAAACTGTAGACATGACAATACAACAGTTAGGACTTCCTACTCCACAGCCTAACTTTGCACTATTGGTCACAACCTTAATTAATGCATGTCTACAAAGCAGCTTCAACAGTTATAACAGATTCTGACATTGATTTCAATGGATACAGTAGCACTTAGTACTTTGCCTTTGTATTGAACACTTAATGCAAAGTCTTTCTTATACCAAAGCTACTTTATTAACCTTTGGTGTATTAGACGAAATCGTTATAGATAATCAAAACTATTAATTTTGACAAATGATATAAGAAGTTTAAAAAATTTGTTAATTCATCACTTATTAAAATCTTAATAAAGTAATATCTTGTAAGATAGTGTTATGTTAAATGTTGTTTGAATATTTTTATTTGAATATTGGTTTATTTAAATGTTGGTCAGGGCGATGTCATATTTTAATATGTTATCAAATTTCATAACATCAATAAACTAAATTATAATGTTTAATTGAAATTTACACTCTCTTACGAAGATTGATGATTTACAGCTGTATTCATATAGAGTTATAACTAACTCAAAAATGTAAGCAAAGTTTTTGCAAAATATTTTCTATATATGTCATATTTGTATTTCAATATAACAATTTAGAATGAATCTTTCGGGGTTTTCTGTTAACCGATTTATTTTAACAATGTTTGCGAATTAAAACATTAAAATAGGAAGATTTAAATGGGCAAACTGAAAAAATTAATGTGTTTAACATTATTTTATTTCTTTTCAAAAGTAATTGGATTGTTCATAACATTAAAAAAAAACATCATTTTAAGATAAGTAAAAATTTTAAAAATGGTAAAAATGTTTCGCTCTTAAAATCAATAATGAATTATTATTTTATCAATCAAATGCCTTGTTCTGTTTTTGTTAGCATATTCATATTATGGTAAACATTTATTAGGTTGGGCAAACATTCACAAAAGGTTTCCAACCATTATCTATACCAAATTAAATAGTTTTTTTCATACAGTCGACATTTTGAATCTAATAATGTTAAACCTCAAGTTGAAGCTTTCATAAAACGAGTTTGATTACATTCCTATCCTAGGATTCCATGAGTTGAATTAAATTCCCTGTAGAATACGGTGTGGCCTTATTAAGAAAGTGGGTTTTGAAATACTTTTCATTGTGGTATTGTTATTTGCCACACATGGGAATTAAGTTCTTATAGACAGTTAGTTAAGAATGTAAATGATATGTTATACAAATTTAAAGCGATCAAAAGTATTTGGTCCGTAGCTTAGAGCTCCTGTAAATTTTTAAGAGGTGTGCAAGTAAGTAATTTTGGAGACAAGTATTTTTGAGTGAGTGTTTCGTTTCGAGATTTTTAAAATAAGTTCGAAATTCACGTGTTTTACTTACCCTACTCAGCTTAAATTGTTACTAGTCACACACCCCTAATTTATATAATATAATCGCAACGAAATGTGGGCTTCGTTCGCCTGTTTTGTAAACAAATTACATTAATAGTAGCAATTTGCATTATACTGAGCCAAATTAGTTTTGCAAAAAAATGTTTTCTTATGACTAAAGTTAAATTTGTATTAATGGTAATTACATTGAGGTACCCGTGATCTATATATTTAATACGCGACATGAAACTTTGTGAACAATAAGGCTTTTTTTTATTTAAGGTTTAACCCCACATATTATATACCAAAATGTTCGTCTTGGTGTTTAGATGTGCAAACTGGCTTTAGATTTTCGAAATATGCCTTTTTAAGGGCGTGGGCTGCCCTCAAAGTTCCTTCCATAAGGATAACATTGTGATTGATTTTAATGTTATTATATTCTGAAACAGATGTCAATACATTAGTTTAAACAAAAATTAAATTCCAGCTGTTTTGTTTGGTTTTGAAATGTAAACAGTTTGCATGTTTTTTAAAAATAATTAGAAACCCGGCAAAGAAATGTTACCTATAGGACACGACGGGAGAAAAGTTTTACATTATATTTTCGTTGAAACATGTCAAGGACCCGACGACAAAGAAATATTGTCAGTCGGACACGGTGAGTCAACATAGGGCAAGCAATGCAAAACGTAAGGAGCTGGAACAGTTAGTGGCAACGTGTACTTACAAAATTACACTGACAAATTCAAGAATTCAGCAGCATTCACTTGGCGAGATGGCATTAAAATGTCAGAAATGTGGTGCGCTACATTTTAAAGAAGAACAAAGAGGACGAGGTGAAGGATTTTATTCTGCTGTCATAAAGGAAAAGTGAATCTACCACTAACCAAGAAATCTATTATATCTAGAGCCTACTTAATGGAGCAAATCATT